CTACAACTACAACTACAATAGATCGATAGATGGAGAGATAGATAGATAGATAGATAGATAGATAGATAGATAGATAGATAGATAGATAGGTAGATAGGTCGATAGGTAGATAGGTAATAAGATGAAAGAGAGAAAGAGAGAGATAGATAGCTAGATCAACAGATAGATAGATACATAGAAGATAGGCTGGTAGGTAAGTAGATAGTCAGAGAAAGAGAGAAAAAGAGAGGAGACCTCAAGCACCTTTCGGTCCATCAGTGGCTTCGCTCTGCCATCCCTGATTCTCAACAACCAAGCTCTCCTATAGGTTTCCTATTTTTGAAACTTCCGCCACCGCCTTGTGCGGTACTACTGGTAGGATATGATGAATTGTTTCATGAATTCATCAGGGATTGTTCTACGTCAATGGTCCAAATTTTGGTGAATTCCAGGTGAGATACAAGGAGCGCATGGACCGGATGCCGATGGATCTCGACTCTTGGTGTCTCAACATGCCAGCTCCGGACACGGACCAGGCTGCCACGCTGCGTGGAGATGGGTAAGATGGCTTGGGACGTGAAGTTGTTTAAAGTTGGGGATATAAAATAACCAATTCAAATCTGGTTTGCGAAACGATGTATTTGAATGGATGTTGAATGGAATCAACAAAGATCTAGGGGTATAAACCGACCAAGCTATGGCAATGTTCAAAGGATATCATGGGATACAACTCAGAATATGAGATGGGTGTGTCGTGAAGATAGTGGGAGAAGAAAAATACAGGTGTTTCAAATTGTAAATTATAGTCCTTTTTTTTCCACCTTGGGATTGCCATAAGTCCGCGTACACCAGTATACCTTGCTTTTGGACGAAGGGATATGCGGGCTACAATTACCCCGAGATGGGCCCCCAATGAGAAGATCCAACACAGCAGGGTTTCGATTGGCGGGTATGTAAAGTATACGTGATGTTGTTGAGGATTCTGAAATCAGGCACTGTATCCTATTGAGATCTTTCAATGGGCTATGATCATCCCACTTTGCGCTTGATTTCACCAGTAAACAAACAACTTTCTCAACTTGGGTGTCCAATTTTTTACCACCCAAACCGGGATGTCTCAGAACTCCGGAGATTTTAGTGGAATTTTTCCGTGCATCCGGAGGCGATGAAAGAACTCGTTGAAGATCTAACGCAACTGGAGAAGCCCAGCGTGCACTCAGCACTCGATGGCCAGTGAAGCCTCAGAGGCTGATGAAATCAGCACCAGTGTTACCAGTGGAAGGAATGGGAGTGAAGTGATGTGATTGGAACATTCTGCAAGATGGGTCAAAACCATTCAAAACCGATGTCCAGGGAATCAACGTCCATTCACCAGCTATTGGTACCGTTTGGGTATCAGGGTTTTGACACATAACCATATGACTGGAAATCCCTCCAGAAGAATGCATCGCAAGGCTGTCCCTTCAAGCATTAGGATCCAATACAGCACATTGTGTGGGATGTGTTTGTTGCGCTCTCATGTCCTTTCACCCTAGTTCACCATTCAACCTATTTCAACTTTCATTTGTGCTTAATTCAGGGTTTTTCTCCCCAGCCGGCATGATGCATAGATCTCGAACTTCTTGCGAAAGTCGGATGCTAACTAGTTCTTGATATCACCCCACTGGTTTTGGGAAGCTCCAAAGATTTTCGTGGATCTTGATGGCAAAGGTCAGAGTTCATGGTTTCTCCTCGTGATGCATTAAATTCACTTCCACTCTCTTGTAGCTTTCCACCTGCTCCGGCCAGATGAGACGTGAAGTGAAGCGGAAAACCCCCCTCAAGAAACATCAAAGAAGAACACATCCGAAACGCTGCAGCTTGTCTTGTTGATTTGTAGTTGAATTAGCCATCCCAAACATTTTTGGCACAACTGAGTAGTGATACCGGGTTGAACCCGGTAGGGGGAGTGGTTATCGCAGAAACTCCAAGTTGGGCCTCGGGGCCGCTCTCCTCAGGATGGTTGATCGGCAAGGGTCGTTCAATCTCCACATGTCGTCCGGCTCTCCATCAGGTCCCTGTTCGCCAGGCTTGGATGGCGGGGGTTCCATGCACCGAGATGTTTTGAGAACCTCCTGGTAGCCGAGTTGGAAGACAAAAGGAATACAAAATGTTGGGGCTTTGGACGGGTTTGGAGGTAAGGAGAATCCGAGGATTTTCAACTGTGGAGTTGGATGCAGCCCAGTTATCCATCCTAAAATTCAGCTGTCGCTGCTCGTGAGTCACGGTAGTGAACTCACCATATTTTGCTGGTTACATCGCCACTTCGTTCAGAGAACCTCCCAACACGACTCCATGGCCCCAACAGAAAGCACCGACGGTGCGGCAAATGCTGTTGCCGGACTTGCGCAACTTGCGCAACTAATTGCATAGTCGGGTTTCAGTCAAGGTGGTTTTCTATGTTTTCTGTGAGACTTCAAGCACTGCGAAAGGAAATTGGGGAAGGGTCAACTTGGGTTTCCTGAAACATTTCACAACAAAAAAACAGGTTCCCTGTTAAATTGCGGGGTATACGCCATTTTCGTACATATCCACTTTGGTACGTACATGTTTAGTCACTTTCCCGGACGGCCAAACCTATTCCAATGCGGACAATGGGGCAGAACGCAGGGCTCAACAAACTGGGTAATAAAAAGGTACTATGTATATCTGTATCGCATGCCAGAGCTAATACCACAGGAACAAGCACGTGTTTTGTTTTGTTGGCTTGCTCCCATGAATGGACATTGAAATTTCCTTTTTCTAATTTGTTCAAGTTGGTTTCTACTCTTGGTCAACTTATCTGGGGTTGTCCAAAAATGGGGCATGCCCTAAAATGGTGATTTTAATGGTGAAATCATTGTCTAAACCATGTCATTCTCGGGTGCCATTTATGACAAAATGCTGGATTTACCGATCCAAAAATGATGGATTTACCGATCCAAACCATGAAGATTTTGAAAAACTCTGAGTACTTTAATGATGTGTTTTCTAAATGCTGTGGTTTGATGTGAACTCAATAACAAACCCTGGTTGGTGGTTTGGAACATGTTTTATTTTCCATAATATATGGGATAATCCTTCCCATTGACTAATATGTTTCAGAGGACCTACCAACCAGAACCAGATGTTGAATTCTAATGTCTCAACTGACCGGCATTTTCACACATCACCTTGACCGAAACCTGAGCAGCCTGAAATTCGGCATTGCTACGAAGTGTCATGCAGATTGCTGATTTCCAAAAAATGTCGTGGTGAAACTGTTTTTAATACACAGGATGGGAAACTTATCTTATGCGTGTATAAGTATATATATATATATATTTGGAAGCAAAAAATGAATGTATGCAGTTCTCATGATCAAATGCGATATGAGATTTACCATCCAAGAAACCATAATGTTTCAACCATTCTAAACCAATGTTTGGTCCTCCATAAATCGCAACTGCAGGGCTTAGTTCTTTGTAGTGCTTGCTGTACCAGAGGATTGGGCCAGATCAAGGGATTTGCTCCAGTCTTCCACGGTCTGTTCATCAAAGAGTTGTATCAGTTGGGTCTATCCCACAGTTTGAAAAGTTTCAAGTGAAATTCGCAGAGTTGATCGACTGCAGTCTGCTGCCAAAATCAACTCAGCGCTCTTCACGCACCGAAAGAACGAGGTGTTTTGCTGTCCGATCTCCAGTTGCTCAGTTCCTTGCTGAGCTGACAAGTATCATTGGTTACAAAAAACAGGTGGGTTGAAGCATCAAAAATATGACAAATGATGGTTTGTAGCCGGATATTGTAATTCTGGTAAATGATGGTAAATGATGATACATGAATACATATGAATATATATATATATACATATATATATATACATATATATATATGTATTGTATATACATATATATATATTGTATATGTATATATATATATTATATATCTATTGTATATATATATTGTATATATATATACTTATATATATTTACTTATATATATATATATTGTTTATATATATAACTATATATATAACAATATATATATAAGTATATATATAAGTATATATATAAGTATATATATATTGTATATATATATATTGTATGTATATATATATTGTATATATATAACAATATATATATATATTGTGTATATTTAACAATATATATATATATTGTATACATATATATATATTTATTTATTGTATGTATATAAATAGATATTGTCTATATATATATATATTGTATATATATATACATTGTATATATATATATATATTGTACATATATATATATATTGTATATATATATACATTATATATATATATATTGTATTTATATATATATATGTATATTGTATATATATATATATGTATATTGTATATATATATATGTATATTGTATTTATATATATATGTATGTATATTGTATTTATATATATATATATATGTATATTGTATATATATATATGTATATTGTATATATATATATGATGAACATGGGGATTTATTTGGATATAATCGATAAACTATTGGATGGCCCATGAACTGGGGCCGATTGGCGAGGTGACAGAACTGGAGATTTGGCTTTGTAGTCAGCTCTGAGCATTGACCGATTGACCCCATTCCAACCCAGGATAAAATACATTGAAATACGACCAATGGCAAGTCGCCGCCGATTTTTGAGCCGAACTGCCAGGTCGCCATGGTTGGGATCGTTTCCCCATCATAAAACCATGGCAAGCCCACATGGGGCACGGCTTTTGTTGAAAGACTTGAAGGCATGGTTTGATCCGCCCTGCTCAAGGCTCTGCTGAAAAGCGCGGTGTCTCTTGGGATGTTTTCGATCTTGGAAAGATCAAAGGATATCCAAATGTTTTTGAATGGTTTTGTCATAGCTAAGTGGCTAAGTGATAAGTTTTTGTCCAATATCCCTGACTAAGTGCAGCTTATTTCCGGCGTACGGATAACCTCAAAACGCACCCATTTCCCCACGAGACGCTCGAGGTTCCCTGCCGTCCCGTTCATGATGGTACCGGTGACCTCAAATCCTTTTGCTGGGGCACCCAATCGTCGTGACCAAAAGGGATGTACTATGATAATCTAGATATACTTCCCTGACAACTAAGGATAGAACTACCAAAACTATCCAACAAACCAGTTTGGATGATGCGTTTTCTCTTGGAAATTCTATGTTTTTAATGAACTTTGATGCTTGCTTTCAGCAATGGTGACCTTGGTGCTTCATCAATCATCTCATGGATCAATATATAGGGTACCCCATTCCATCCGACAGTAAAGTAGCAATGCATAGCCCATCTTCAGACACGTTACCACCAACTTTGGAGACATAAAACCAAGCCCAACATGAACACCATGAATCCTAGGACCTCAGGCAACGTCGCCGACCAAGCTCTATCAATGAAGGATTGGGATAATCCATTCTCCAGACAGGATAGACATGATCATAATGCCCCAATAATGGCATCTCATAGGATGTTCACCACACTGACATGACATTTTGCTACATTTTGCTGATTTACCAATAAGCAAATCCTGAGGTTTACATTGTTTACATGTTTCCATTCGGTCCATCCAGGTCCAGGTGAAACTCCACGAGCACGTGGCTGCAACTATTCGGATACGGCTAAGGTCAGGGGTTGTGGCTGAAACTGGTACCCCAGTTCTTTGAGGTGGTAAACCCGACGGAGTAAAGCTCAATTGGCTTTGGTTTGTGGTAAATCAACAAAATGTCATGTTGTTTGAGTTGATGTGGAAAAAATAGGATAAATTGGGATGGGAATGAGTTTGAAGTCCAGAAACATAGGTGAGAATTTTGAGTGCTGAGAAAGACAAGATGGTTGGGGGTCTGTGTCATGTGCTGGTCGGCTTCAGGACGCCCATTCCAAGTCTGAAACCTTGTGAAAAACATGGCATGATTTTTTCAGGGGCCCTTGGAGTGCATTCAGATGTATATATATATATATATCTCTCTCTCTCTCTCTTGCCTGTCCATGGACCCAGCAATCCGCTAGTCAGTCAAACGTGGCTAGCTGGGAAATCCCCAAAGGAAATGGAGGTGTCGTTCGCTGGGAAAGTCATATCGATTTTCCATCCAGAGCTCGCCCCTGTCGCTTCGCAGGTGCGCAAAGCCTTTGCCAATTTTATGTGTGGAGCCCCAGATTTCAAGAATTGGAATCCAAAGATTGGGATTTCGATTGTAAATGATCTTCAAATTGATTTCCTAACGATTGGGACTTGCCTGCCAGACTCCTGAAGTGTGAATCTAGGTACTTGATGACTGATGATCAATGGCTATTTCTCTGTTTTGCGATCTCACGTCGCTGATATTGGTCTGTTTTTGGTAGTATGAATCATATTAGAATCATGAGAACGACTCAGATTCCGGAGCCAGTTCCATTTTATCCCAGGGTCACCAGGGTCACCAGGGTAGGGTCACCATTTTCCTCCCAAATTGACCCGCGCGGACGGCCGTAGGTTTCCTTACTGCGGCGCCACGTGCCTCTTCGACTTTGACAACAGCTCTATTTCTTTCAGATACTCAGCCGAAAAATATGGCTTCAATGGAGAAAATCATGGTTTCCCAAGCAGTTCTGCAAAATCCCGCTGGAATCCGAGACTGGGATCCTTTTGATCACTGTTGGCGACGACATTTAGAAGGCATGAATTCCGGGGTCGGGATCCCAACAAATTGGCTCGGCTTAGCTCGTTAACGGTCTCAGCTCACCATTGAAGTATCTGAAAATGGTGAAGTTTCATTGGGAAGCTGGAAATGTATGGAACTGTCCAATTCTTGTCGCTGAAAAAATGCAAGAAAATTGATGCCGATAGCCTGATAGCCCAATAGTGTTGGTCAGATTCCAACACTTGTTGTTTGCTTTCCTATGCTTTCCTTCTTTGATGCCTGTTTCAAATTTTCCTGGTGGTTTCCCTTGGGTTGGATAGATCCTCGTTGTTGGTTGAACCACCACGCCTTTTCCCAGCTTATTTCATCGTAGTTTTCCTGATTATTTACCCTTTGTTACCGATAAAAATCCCACCTTGCTGGGTAAATCACCGTTTCTTGGCTGCTTGGTCGGTCACATTCACCGTTAGCTGGTTGTAAAACCCCATGTTTCACGAGTAAAGTCCCTGATGTTTGTCACCATTCTTTGCTGGTAAAATCGCTCGACTTTTCAACTAAAAATCTATGTGTATAATTAGTCAATTTGTTATTTTGTGTTGGTGTTGCAAAGAGGAGCACCCAGGTATAACATACACACCACAGCACCCAGGTGTTAGATGAAATCAACAAACTGACCTCGTCAAGGGAGTCAAATCAGCTCGACCTAGGTGAGATTTTTCATTTTTTCATTTCGCGATACTGCAAGATTTCTTGCTTGGTCTCATGCAAAACACGTGACAGTGGGCTACTCTAGACACAGGGATGGTGATTCCTATCCGTAGAAATCAGGCTGCACAGTGCCATCCGTGACAAAATCATTCACCAACATGTCACTAAGCTCAGCAGGGAAAAGCTGAGAATTGGAAGGAAGAAACGTGCTTTGCACGTAGGCTACCACCGCATTGGCTATGGCACGGTTGAGGCCATGCGGGTAGATCTTCCCTTGGGCCGTTTTAAAAAGGCCTTCAGCATCCCTTCCGGACAACACTTCGTGGGCAGAAGCATGGTGGGAACAACGTCCCATGAGGCCAGTGCGCAAGATGGTATGCCGCAAAGCCGGAAGTCGGAGGTGAACAATGGTCGTTGGTTTCTTCGATGCGCAACCGAAGATGCATTGGTCAAAGCTCGTTATTCCGACAGCCGCTATGGTTTTCAAAAGGCGCATGGGCAAACTGGACCAAATACTGGCCGGTGCCATGCCCTGTGCCCAGACCGGGTACTGAGGGTGTTCGATAAAGGCACATCCACCCGTCAACACCAAAGCCAAGAAAACCTCCAGAATAAAACGCATCAACCTGGACCCCGTCATGACCTGGCGCCAAGCACGAAGAGGAATATTAGGGATGCCTTCGGGCCAATCATATGTTTTTGGTGAAACGGCGATGTCTCGAACTTGGGTCTCCGATGACCTAGGGAGCCCTCATTGATGTGATTGTGATATCATATTCTACCAACACAGTGTTGCTAAAGCAATGGTGTTGTGAAATGGAGCATGCAGCAATCACCATTAGATAGATAGATCCACATGATCAAGTCCCAAATTATAACCCGATTAAAATCCCCTTAGTGGCTATATATATATCATTATCTTATTTATTATTTACGGCAATAATACTCAACACAATTATCTAACTACAATTAAATGATATCAGACTGCAATCGAATACCGTAGATTAATGATTGAATAAATGCTCATAAGACATGGTACAATGAAAGCGATATTGACAAGATCATCATATGAAAAGACTGTTTTTAGCTTAAACGATGGTAATAACTATGATTAGATACGGGACAAAACCCCACTGGGTATGGCGATCTATGGTGAATCTTTTTTGGATTTACCACATGAACGGGGCTACCACCATTCACTGTGTGAATGATACTTATAATTATAAAGTTACCATCTATATATGGTACAATAATATTGAAATAGTTATTTTAAGTCATATTCACCACTACTGTTACTATAGTGGTTATCCCATCGATTTTTAGGGATTCATATACCATCTAAGAACGCCCCATGAATAATATATATATAACATCTAAATCCATCCAATAACCGTACATAATAGTACAAAATGGTATACAGCATTTATGGAAATAATATCTATAAAATGTCAATCCATCATATACCAATCCAATGGATTCAACGATGGTGGAAAATCATGAAATCTACATACCATATCTATGGGGATCATATTTTTTTTAAATCATCTATAAATAACCCATTTTTCAATGAACGGGTTCAATAAATATGAGAACTATAACTGTTTTTTACTGTGATACTTCAATATGAATGGGGTTACCATCTAAATCCATTTGACCCCAACAAGATCTCCCCTAACCAGGCCCCTGTGGTCCTCCGGGCGAGCGGGCGCTGGTGCGCAAGCGCCGCACGCTCTTCTGTTGAGTTCCGGCGATGGAATTTTGACAGGCGAGGATTCAAAGACAACACGAACGTAGCCACTCATGCACCAGAAGACAGTTTCAACTGGTCACGTGTAGTTGCCAGGCGATTTTGAGAAGAGTGGATTTCTCTTCCATACGATACATTGCACCATTACATATCATCGTGGTTTCACTGAAATATTCCGTGGCTCCCAGGAATTGGTCAAACTCAGCAGTGTCATCCAAGATCGCTTGCTGGACAGTCCACCATTGGATATGTAACATGTATCAATCATTTTCCCAGCGAACGAAACCTCCATTTAGTTCGGGGATTTTCCAGCTAGCCATGGAGCTGATGAAGGTATCTCAGTTGTTGATCATTCAAGGTCAGGTCAATGAATCGACGCACCAGGCCGTTCGCACTGCGCCATTCTGCCTGCGTCGGGCGAAAAAAGACAACGCGGCGGAGGCTGTAATGCCAAATGACCACAGATTGCCGTTGTCACTAACCCTACTATTTTGGAGTACGATATTTCAACAGACAATCTGCACATCAAAAACCTCACATGTAACCAATAAAGATGGGACCAACAGCAGAGCCATCAGCTTAGACCAAAGACCAGGATGGGAGCAGTACCCAATCGCTGTGATCAGCCCAATTGAGGATAGAAAATGGTACCTAATCTATCCTAATCTACCTAATGTACCTAATTGTTAAGCTATATCCATATGCAAATTATTTTTCTGTATCATGTTCATCGTATTCATGATCACCTAAATGATCTGTGCCTGAGGACTCAGGACCATATCATTCAGGACGCTTCCAAATTCTGTCAGTCTCACAGGAAATGCTGATGTAACTGATTTACTGAAGGATATAGCCTCGATTCATGTCCTAGGTTTATCACAAACCATCACAATTTATGGTTGGTTTGCTTGTGGTTTTTCTTCGGAAAATCGCCACTTCTGCAGTGGGCTTAAGCTGCCCTCTGTCCGGAAAGGGTGCCCTCGGTCCAGCGGGTGACTTTCCAACGCAATGAAGCGCCAGACGACCCTCGGTCACTTGGAGATCTGGAACCATGCCGCTGGGGGACAGGATGGTTTGCGATGAAAAACCCAAGTGGTTGATCATTTTCCTCAGATTTGCCATAGGTATCCGCCATTTCCAGAGCCTCAAATCAGAAATGGGAATCTATTGTGTTGATAGTATCACAGGAGTGTTTCAATTGGGAATCCAGTGGATGTATTTCGAACCGATGGCTCGTGATTCCTTTGTTTCCACAAGGTCCCATTGGTTTCAGATTGCCACTGCTCGACCGAGTTTTTGGTTTGAACCTATCTCATGATCTACGAAATTGTCCTAGGTTTTCTCAAGCGAAATTCCATCACTGGCAAAAACCTGGTGGCAAAAAATGTGTGGTCTCAAGATGAGCCATTTGACTCAGAATATTGCAGCACATGTAGACCATGTCGTTTCAGGGCAACATTTGTCCCAGTCGTTTTGGCATGTTTTGGCAGGTTGCTTCTATAGTTTTCAAAGGTGATCCACCATACTTGGACTTCGGCCAGCGACATGTCCTATCCAGCCCAGCCGGTCATCGCAGGTCTTGCTTTCCTACTTGGCCATGTCTCGGCATTGAAGTTTGCAACCTGACTTCATCAGAGACGCCCTGGTGAAGTCCCACTACGACTGGTCGAAGTGTCCAGAAATGCCGAATATTCTACAACAATGATAGTTTTCATGGGGAAAATATGCGGAAAATCATGTTTTAGCGATGATCCAACAGCAACATGTGGATGGCGGTTTTCATTGATCTCGCATTGGTTTGAGCGATGTTTGTTTTACAGGAAAACCAAGTAAACCCCATATTTCACGGGAAAACCATGGTTTTCCAGTAGATTTCCCTTGAAACATCCCAAAGACATTCTGTTTGTTTTCTTTTCCATCTTCATGGTTAGGATCATGAATCCAGATGACAGTTCGATTTTTTTGATGGCCGAAGCAACCAGCTTGCAACAAGTTTTTTCATCCGACGTAGATCTTTCTGAATTGATCCTTGGATTACATTTTTCAATAAGGATTGTACTAGTGATAACGTGTCTCAAAAGATCGTTTTCCTGGTCTAGAAAGAAGACAAGCTTGAAGGATTTTGAGTGTCCTCCACTTTGAGAAGCTGGCTAGAAACCATTGTTGTTGTTTCTATGCCCACTTCGTTGGTGGTTTACCCATGCTCGCAGGTGCATCAATAGCTATGAATTGCGTCTCTTTCTACACGCATTTTCTTGCCTTTGATGTTGGTCTGTATCAACTTTGTGTATCATATATATATATATACAGTACATCATATATGGATGGATGGATGGATGGATGGATGGATAGATAGGCAGACAGGCACGCAGGCAGACAGGCAGACATTTTAATAAAACTATGCATTTGTCTTTATGGTCTATGTCCATCTTTGTCACTTGTTTACCCATTTTTGCAACCGTTTGCCGGTGTCCCGGTCTCCTGTGCTCAGGGGACATCCAGAAGCAATCAAACGGACAGGGGGGAATTGGGGTGGCCTTTCTGTTTAAGCCGCTGGATTTGGACAGTGGAATGGCATGGAATGGCATGGAATGGCTATGTTTGAAGATCTGGGGCGGAGATGAAACCTACATTTTCAGGCCACAGACCCAGTTCGTGTCAATGTCTATCAAGTCGAGGTGCTATGGGTCAGCCACAAAAAGATCAGAAGTGTTGGAATGACCTGATTTTACTGTGTATCTTGTTTGTCCAGAATCTTGGACCAAAACAACCCTGACGGTGAGGAGGTGTTCTGACAAAGGGATGTTCTATGTCTTGAAAAAGAGGCAGATATTGTACAGCCATGTACAGCCCATTGTCCGAGCAAGGAAAAAGCTCTTAAACCCTCTTCCCCTTCGACAACCACAACTAGCCTCAAGCCAGGAGGACTGCTTGTTTGTGCAGCCGGTGATCAGTAGCAAAGTCATTGAGGGCTACTGTGGTTCCTTGGATCACTGCGGAGTTTCCTGAGGGTTGTCATTTTCATGTTCCTTTCATTTCAAACGGAAAGCAGCTGTTGCCCCATCTTCAGTGACTTAGTACCTAAGGTACTGGCAAGAGTAGCCTGGTGGATACCAAGCACCTGGGCGAAGTGTTACGGAAATTCTTGTGGATGTGAAAGAGCCCAATATGAAATGCTCTTCGAAGCCTAAGTTTGAACTTAGGTGCAACCAAAGGATTGACTCAGACTTGATAGCAGCGGGTTGCAAGACCAAGGAAAATCCTGTCCCAAGAATCAGTACGAAGAAAAAATGACAGATTTTCACAGCTACGGCAGCTACGGGTGTGGGCTGAGACCCCTTTATCAGTAACGCAGTTGGGGATAACCCCACGGATTTTGTGTACCTTTCAGCCTTTCAGTCGGCAGGGCATGTGATGATGCATTGACGCCATTCCTGCACAAATCGCTGGCCAATCGCATGTGCGCCCCTTGGGGAGTGACAGCTGGACAGTTCAAGCTGTTTCTGATGGTGTTTTTTGTTGCTGAAACATGCTGAAACCATCTGATTTCCACAAATAAGAGATGTATGATGTATATCAGCACACTTGGATGGTGATTTGTTTTAATCACCCAGGCAACATATGTTTTCTGGATTTCCATGTGAGTCTTCTTACGGAGTTGCAGATTAGAGAGTACGGGAGGCCCAAGAAACTCTGGCCGATTGCTGGTTTCAGGTGTGTCGTACTTTCGATCTTGATTTAGCTTCAACATTGGTTCAACCCAAGTGATGACTGGAGAAGTTGACACCATGAATGATACTAACGGCAACCTCTCAAGCTTCCTGTATGCTTCATCTGGGATGGTTCCCATTGTCGCGGGGCGATGGGGGCAGGTTCAAAGATTGCGACTCATGGTGCGTGTATGACTTCGAGAAGCCTGAGAGCATTGTGCCGTGGATGATCCAACTCGGGATTTCACCAGGATTAAAATGATATTTCATAAGCAAAACAAAAGAAAACAGTATGTTTATGTATGTTTGGTTTATGATTAATTGATGGAAAACTATTGGGTATCGTATCATGATCACACTAGCTTGAGTTTTCACACCAAAATAGTCGGGAATTATGGTGTGACAATTCCATAGCTATTCCGAGAATGACGCTAATGACGTTCAGGAGTCTCCATCTCATGACTGCTGGTTTTTGGAAATATCCCGGAATCGCGGGTTGTTTTTTGCTTCTTAGGGGCAAGGCTAGTCTGCGTGTCAGCTAGAATTTGTACCCAAGATCAACAATATCCATCATTGCTTGATTCCAGACCTGGTCAACTTTGGTGTCCTTGCAGAGCAGGGTGCAATCATATTGCAGTAGGGGCGCACATACTTAATATGAAAATGCGATTGTTTGGACCCATCAGAAAAATCAATGATCCACAGTAGACAAACTATTCAAAGCCTGCTATACGCCTGCTACGCTTTATGTTCCACAAAACTCTTCATGTTTCACGTCACCAGAGGGATGATGTGTGATATCGTGGGAAACTGCAACCCAATCAACCGATGATGGGTTACCTCCATGGGGATTTTCTTGTCCAGTCTCTGTTACTTCCAGCGCCAGGTGTACCGTTGGGATGAGAAAGCCAGCTGCTACGAAGCCGGAGGCCACTTCCATTGCGTTGCAGCACTGGCAGGGGTTGAGAATGGTTGGACTTTGGTATAACGTAAATCCAATTGAAATGTCAGAAATAGATAAGAAAACACATTCTGAATTGAAAGTTCATATATGGGATAAGCCCCGACTTCATCGGTTACAAATCCCAGATTAGAGGCTCCATATTTTTGATCAGCTCAACCCTCCAGCCCGAAATGCAGGTGCTGGCAATCCCTGTTTCGGCAACGTGGAGCAGAGCATGGCGATGGATCAGAAGAAGAAGATGTGCAAGGAGCTGTTATTTTGAAGAAACACGCAGAAACCAAGGATTTCCCCACCAGGTAAACTGAGTGACAAAAGAGTAGGTTGATAATGGGTGTGTGTACCAACTAGCTATATAAAAATCATCTCTCATTTGCAGGGATCCAACATCAGCCACGAGAGGCATAAAAATGGTTTGGGGCCATCCGCAAAAAAATGTTCACCCCGGTTTTAAGTAGCAAAGAATCCTGGTTGATAGGTCCCTCATTTCTGGCATTTTTGCATCTACGATCTGGCCAAATGAACTGAAAAACGATGCTGAATGCATGCTGAATGCAATGCTTCTTCAATCGAGGCAGCCTCCAAGAAGCTTGTCGATTTTGATGACAAGGGAACTAAGGGAACCCATGTTTCAGATTGCGCCCAAAGAAACACTCACCTCAACGGCAGTTCATGAATAGTGGTGATTGATACCACCGGTCTTTTCATGTTAGGATCGAAATTTCCCTACCCTTCGCAATTGGGATGGTTGATGGGCTTGGAAACACTTGTAAATCTGACACGATTTCCAGTCTCAGAAACCCACTGGGCTCAGGGCTCACCAATGGCGAGGTTAAGCAAAAAAGCTTCTTGTTCTGGACATTTGCTGACTTTAGCTTCTGTAAGTATTGGGGCAGTTCACTGTTCCCAAATCTTTCAGATCTTGGGGGTATCCCAAGCAGGGGCCACGAACCTAGCGGATGGCTTTTCCTAATGGAACTGGGTTAGTCGTCGCCCAAGACGACTGAGCTGACTCAGCTCAACAGTTTACTGCTTGATATACATTCAAAAGTGGAAGAATCATAGCTGGAATGATCCTCAGACCCCAAATAACACATTCGAAGAATGCTGCTCTATATATAGTACATCCATTATTGACGTACAAAATCCTTAGAATATTGATTACATAGACCACCATCCAAATACATATAATTATTTCCCTCCGGGGCGGACGTTCGCCCAAAGTTTCATTGGGTTGTTAGTTACGTTGTGATTTGTTCAGGAGTTATTCCCGAGAGCGTCTGAGCGCAGGGTTCTTCCAATAGTGGGGGTCTGTAAAACATCTTCTCATCTTCACATCTCATCTTCACATTCTCTCATCTTCACATCTTCTCATCATCTTCACATCTTTTCATCTTCACATCCTCTCATCTTCACATCCTCTCATCTTCACATCCTCTCATCTTCACATCTCATCTTCACATCCTCTCATCTTCACATCTTTTCATCTTTACATCCTCTCATCTTCGCATCTCTCATCTTCACATCTGCTCATCTTCACATCCTCTCATCTTCACATCTGCTCATCTTCACACCTTCCCATCTTCACATCTGCTCATCTTCACACCTTCCCATCTTCACATCTTCTCATCTTCACATCTGCTCATCTTCACATCTTCTCATCTTCACATCTGCTCATCTTCACATCTGCTCATCTTCACATCTTCCCATCTTCACATCTGCTCATCTTCACACCTTCCCATCTTCACATCTTCTCATCTTCACACCTGCTCACCTTCTCTCTCACGCCTTCTTTTTATCTTTCTCTCTTAAGGCCGAGGGTGGTGCCGGCGGCGAGTCACGAAACGTCAACCCTTTCGCACGAAATGAGGGTCGATCGGCAAAAACTGAGGTAAAATTGCGATTTGACTTGTCCTGGAGCAACCCTTTCGCACGAAATGAGGGTCGATCGGCAAAAACTGAGGTAAAATTGCGATTTGACTTGTCCTGGAGCAACCCTTTCGCACGAAATGAGGATCGATCGGCAAAAACTGATGTAAAATTACGATTTTACTTGTCCCGGAGCAACCCTTTCGCACGAAATGAAGGTCGATCGGCAAAAACTGAGGTAAAATTGCGATTTGACTTGTCCTGGAGCAACCCTTTCGCACGAAATGAGGGTCGATCGGCAAAAACTGAGGTAAAATTGCGATTTGACTTGTCCTGGAGCAACCCTTTCACACGAAATGAGGGTCGATCGGCAAAAACTGAGGTAAAATTGCGATTTGACTTGTGCCGGAGCAACCCTTTCGCACGAAATGAGGGTCGATCGGCAAAAACTGATGTAAAATTGCGATTTTACTTGTGCCGGAGCAACCCTTTCGCACGAAATGAGGGTCGATCGGCAAAAACTGCGGTAAAATTGCGATTTTTCGTGTGCTGGAGTAACCCTTTCGCACGAAAAGGGGTTTGTGTGTACGAGCGTTTCTGTGTAAAGATGTTTGTGTGTAAAAGTGTTTGTGTGTACAAGTGCATCTGTGTAAAAGTGTTGTGTGTAAAACCTTCTGTGTGTTCAAGTCTTTGTGTGTAAACGGGTTTGTGTGTACGAGTGTTTCTGTGTAAAGAAGTTTGTGTAAAAGTGATTGTATGTAAAATTGCATCTGTTTAAACGTGATTGTGTGTAAAAGCTTCTGTGTGTACAAGCGTTTGTGTGTAAAAGCAGCTCCTGTGTGTAAAAGGGTCTGTGTGTAAAAGTGTCTGTGTGTAAAGGCTTCTGTGTGTAAAAGTGTCTGTGTAGAAGTGTCTGTGTGTAAAAGCTTCTGTATGTAAAAGCTTCTGTGTGTAAAAGCTTCTGTATGTAAAAGCTTCTGTGTGTAAAAGCTTCTGTGGGTAAAAACTTTGTGTGTAAAACCGTCTGTGTAAAAGCGTCTGTGTGTAAAAGTGTTTGCGATGCAAACTATTGTCTTGCACTTCTCACTATTTTGTCTTGATACTCCTCTTCTCGACTGCCTATAACACAGCTTTCATATATCGTTTCTAATATTGCGTCTCCATACTAACAAGAGAAGACCCTGTTCCTCTACGCTCTCGGGCCATCCGTCGTCTAGTTTCAGATTTGTTTAGGGTTTGCGCGGGATTGGTTTAGATTTTCTTTAGGGTTTATTTAGGGTTTGTTTAGTTAATTTTCGTGCTATTTAGGGTTGTTTTAGGGTTTGCTCACGGTTGTCTTAGGGTCTATTTAGGGTTATTTATGGTTGATTTAGGGTTGGTTTAGGGTTTGTTTGGGGTTTATTTAGGGTTAATTATTTAGGGTTAGGTTAGTTTGGGGTTCTTGCAAAGTCTTGCGGCTTGTGGAGGTTTCAGTTAACGGCTCGAAACACTGCAAATTACAGAGGATATCTTTAAGATACGCTTCAAAATGTAATTTTGGGGTAAGCGCAAAAATGCAATGAGACGCAGGTAAAAACCATATTTTGCATGCTCGCAGTGTTCGAAAAACACGCACGGAAACAACTCAGCAAATTGCAGTCCCGCATGGAATTCCGTGCATTTCGCCCCCTAGCGAATTATTTCTTACGTATACATCATCCAATCTATAGATCCGAAAGATTGATATGTACATACATGTATACATATATATATATAACAAATATGTACATATATACATATGCATATATATATATATAAAGATAGATAGATCGATAGATCATTCGACCCATGCCGTGGCGCCAGGACGCCAGTTGCACTCAACTGGTGACTGCCATGAGCGATCAGCTCATGAAGCGATACTGTCGCTGGAACCCAGTGGTTCCCACCGGAAATGGTGATATCTCCGTGGAAAAGGTATCATGGATGGATAATATAGGAATAATGTGGAATATCATGGGAATATGATATATAATGATATAATATATATATATATGTATACAATGATAATGACTGTGGATGGGCCAGCGAAATCCTGCACCAGTTGATGGTAAACATCCCATGACTTATGTTGAAAAAGCATCCAAGCTTGGTGGCGCAGGATTTCCCAACCATCCACAGGGATATCATGGGAATATGTTATGGAATATGAATGGGAATATCATGGAAATATTGATGAACCATGAAATCCATGACTAAATAATGGTGAAAAATTGGCATTTAGCAATCATTTAATGGGAATATAATGGGATACTCAATAATGGAAATGGGGGATCCCCATGTCACCATAGGTTTCAATGCTAAATAGGGGGGTACCCATATGGACGTGATCAGCAAATATTCAAGGGATCCAACCGTAATCCAACCATCGAAACAGTGGATTTAAACATTAAAAACTGGGATTTAACTGTCCAAAATGGTAGAGTTAACCAATGTTAATCCAGCTAAACCTCGACTGAATTCCATGAATTCATTGATTTGGGGTGGGGGTATAGAAAAGGGATATTTCATGCCTAACCTGGGATATTTCATGGGATATAACCAGCATATCCTGAGGCGGCGACCTCAGGATGAACGCAAAGAGCTGCGATGAAGGCGGCGGTATGGGATTCGCGCTGGGATTTCCTCGGGGAAATTCGGGTAAGCTGCGGTGGTAACTGGTGGTCTAAATAAAATAGATTCAAATAGATGTTTTTTACCAAGGAAAATGGTGAGTTTCTTATGGTTTGTTTCCATGTTTAAAGACTGAAAATGCTAGTAAATGGAATAGATCACTAACAAACCGGTTGGTGGGATGCTGAGTCAAGTGGTGATGGGAATTCAGCTAGGAAAAATGTGGCAATGTGCATTGTAGCCTGTAAAAAAATGGGAATGGAACCAGAATGAATTCACCATGGGATGAAATCGAGAAATCTTGACTGAATAAAAAGCAAAGATTCTTTACATCGAAGTTTGAACATGGAACATGGACCCAGAATGACCCAGATATCGTTGATCCCCAAATTGTGCCTGCAGAAAACAACGACGCTGTGAAGAAGGCTTTGGCCAACAAGATGCCAGGGATCTCAGTCCCAAAACACCGGAAGAAGGGATTCACCTTGAAAAAAATGTGACCAAACTTATAGGGATATCATGGGATATGGATAGCCAGCAGTATGATATTTGGGTCTGAAAAGGGGTATCATGAAATAGCCATGTCCATGTGAAGTGCAAGGATTCGCCCTCAAGTTCGGTGTTTTTCCCATCATGTTTCAGAGAACCCGAAATGTCGGATCCATCCTTGGGGGTTAAAATGGGATCGATTCCCAGCACGTCGGAGCAGCGGGGCTGTGAGCAAATCATCTACCCCAGTGAAAAAGGTTGTCTCCATCCAATTCCAATTTTTGCTGAGATCAATCTTTGCCGATAACCCCCCCATGTTTTGTTGTTTTTTCCATGGCGAGGTTGGTTTCATCTCTATTATTTCTTGCATTCATCCCCACTTTTGCTTGGTATCAGTTGTATCATATATCATCATACATCCCCACGAGAATCCCTGGTGTTGGGCCATGAATGACCATTTTAATCCATTTTATATGGCGAATCTTCGACTGCCAACAGCCCATTTTTATTGTAAGGTTCAGCCACTGCGGTGCATGGTGCCTCTTCGACTTTGACGACCCCAGCATCTCTTTCGGTGCATCGGCTTGAAGACTGATGAAATCCTCTCGAAAATGATATAAAAACAATAAACTTGTGGGGATATCACAGGATACAATGGGATAACCAACATTATCATGATGACATTGACATTTCGGTGCGAAAATAGGAGAAACTGATTGCCATTGAGGGAAACGATACGGTGATCCATTGTTATGGGTCAAATTTAGGGTACCCAAAAAATGGATGGTGAATATATGGCCAAAGCCAAAATCTGTGGTCACCTGTGGTCACCTGGACCTGAAATTTTGACCGGCCCATGGCCCATATCTCATGGACGAAAAATTGGAATTGAGCCAACAGCAAAGGCAGTCTCACCAGCAATTGGGGACTCCATGGTTCCATCGCAGCATAGCCCCATGCAACTACTGAGTCTGGGCCTAACCAGTAATATGCCATGGAAAATTCACACCAAACACCCGAGGTGTTGAGCTGTCACCGTGACACAAAAATGAACCGATTTTGCCACAAGATGCTGCTTTACCCTACAGAAACAGGGGGGTTCCCCCCCGATCAAAGTTGGGAGATGAATCAAATGAGCTTAGCGACTGCCATAAATCATTAAAACTTCAAATAGCCTCCAATTTACTCAAAGGTGGCTGGAAAAATCCCTCATTCAGTTGGATGAGTTTCCCTGTACATGTTTAAAAAGACTCCATTGGTATGTGATGTCCCAGCTATAAACCTCCATTTATGGTGGATTTTTCCCATGAAAAACCTCCATTTTCGGGCATGATTTCGATCGAGGATGGTGGCCCGAGAGCAGCTGCTGGAAGAAAGGAGGCCACGACGACGTCATTGAACCAATTTTCAGTGGCAAAGGCTGAATTTAAGCCATGAAAGAATTGGGGGATGGTAGAAAAGCATGATGGTTTAAATCAGTAGTTTGATGTATAATTTATGGATAGAATGATGTATAAAAAGTATAAACAACATGAGTGATGTATTCAATGTATTCATCATGAGATCATTCCTCACTTTCAGGATGTGAAGGTCACCCTGAAGAGAGTGGGGCACAGCAGTTGAAGGCCAATTCCTGCGAGGTCCGCCGTGGGACGGTGGGACATTAAAAAAAGGTGCTGCGTTGAACCCAAAAAAGGGTGAATGACTAGGCTTTATGGTTGATGATGTTGATGATGTTGATGTCTTATCTAGAATTGGATGTCAAATCCACTTGGGAGAAAACTAGCCTAGAAGCCTAGAAGCCTATTGTTCAGTATAGCCATCCCCCAAAAGATAGAAAAATGTTTCCATGTGGTTATAGATTCTATTTTATACTTATTTCATTCTTATTTCCAGATGTCCCACTTTTCGACTTTTCTATCCTTCTTGGGCTTGCTGTATAGATTGACCTGTTCAAATCCTAGCCGCTAGCCTCAGTTGACCACTACCACGACAACGACCACCAGCACCAGCACTTCGACCACCACCAGCACCACCATCACCTCCACAGCCCGGAACCATGGTGAGGGTGATCCTTTTTTTTCGCCATGTGGACCATGGAACATATGTTGGATGGTTTGTATATGGATGGTATTTCCTTTAACTGTTGGGAAGTCGCATTGTTTGGAAGTTGACCATCCCAGGTCAGCCATACCCATCGCAGTTCAGATACTCACCATGGCTGAAGTTCAAATAACTTGAATTAGGTATTTTTAAGATATGTCCATCCTTGCTGAGTCAAGATTTCCCCATGAGCATCTTCAACCACAAGTAGTTCAACCACCTGGCAGTCATCAGCTGCGTCGCTGCAGGGATCATACCATCTCCATCTTTTTTCCATGGGGATTCAACCAACCCCACGAAGCTGACCCCCCCAAGTTATGAATAGGCTCTTATGAAAATGGTTCTTGGTGGTGAATTAATCCACCAAAACCAAAGCCAGGCCTCCAATAGAATCAGTCTTTTCAGTGGGGTTACATCCCTTCTATTCCCTCATTCTCCGAGTTTTTTGTTCAGAATCCACACTTGTCGGTGGAGAAGCCCAAGTGGTTGTCCACCACCCAGTCCACGACCACCACCTCCACCACCACGGTGACGACCACCACGGTGACGACCACCTCTACGGTAACCTGGCGGTGAAAATGGCTTTGTCTTGAAAAGGTTCCTCCAAATCCATTGGTTGATCATGGTCATCATGGTCAATCAGTTTCCCTATTTTATTTGTACCATTTAGAGATATTTAGAGTGTGTACAGTTCTACACCATTTTCAGACCCAAATGTTAGTGGGACATCCAGATTCTGTAGCTTCTCATCTTTTAAAATCGGACAGGAAATTTTGACCATCACCATTCCAAAAAATTCTTATGACAATCTTGAGCTTTGGCTGAGCAGCATCGACCTTAGGGGAAATTCATGTCATCCTCAAGGCGACTGTTCCAACTGTTTCATTTCCATTTGGGAAGATCACTGACTTCCGCATTTTTCCAGCTTCAAGCGCTCCAGCCGTGCTGAGATTACCAGTACCTCAACCACCACGACCAGCACGTCCACCACGACCACAACCACTTCCACGGTGCCACGGAATCCGTGGACAGTTGGCGCCAAGTTTGTGGCTTTAGACCGAACTCATCTTTTAAGCAAATTCAATATCCGTATTTTACAAACCAGCTTTAAAAAATAGTTCTTTTTGCGTATCTAAGATTGGCCATGGGTCATTGAACCCTGGGATGATGCTTTTCAGTTGACTCAGATGTGTTTGTGGGTTGAAACCCGAAAAGCAGCAAAAACTTTGATGGTCTCGCGGTGAAAATGATCAAAGTCAGTTTGGTACCATTGGGTGGCACCATTTTTTTAGAGTGCTCAGATGTCTAAAGTTGAAATCACATCGAATTTCTGCCAAAGTCCTTCAAATGCATTGATAGCAGTGGGGCCATGGCATATTGAGACGGACTAATATCAGCAAGGGCCCGAAGATTGCCATGCAGGAGTTCGTTTCCAGGTCACCCGGAATTGACCCACCGCTCCAGACCACTACGACCACAAGTACCAGCACCACTACAATCACCTCCACTACCACCACCAGCACCAGCACCACCACTGTGCGGCTTCCAAGTCGGCCCCTGTTGACTGGGTATTACACTACCCAGGGGACTCATCCATTGTGGGAATCCCTATTAAACAACCAGTAAAAATGGCTTGACGATGCTGAGGTGACGACTACCACTACCACCAAGACGACCACCTCCACCACCACAACCACCACCACCACCGAAACGGTGCGCACGGCGTCCACGGGGACAGGGTGGTGCCTCCCCAGTAGTGTAGAAAGCTATCTATGAATATATGCACCAATATGCACCATAGATCCATAGATATCCATAAATCCTATTAGGTATATAACCATAAATATCCATAAATTATCCTAGTTCACCTACTTCTAACCTACAACTTAGCTATGGGGCACCACCTTCGATGCAGCCTAAGCTAGTGCTGGATTTGGATGATTTTTGAAATTTCATTTGCCCAGGCCCCACAATGGTCCAGGATGGAAGCCAAATGATACGAATGGCTCTGGGAAATACTTCAGGATGTTTTGGGATACATCCTGAAAGCTTCGTTTGGTTTGGCCAAATATTTTCTGATATCCATGGTTCACTATTGCTGCTAGAGAACACCCCGAGTTTCAATGGTTATATAAATATGCACGATCTCATTTGCTTCAAAAAAACCTTTTCCGGTGTGTCCAATGATTTTAATTCATCTCTAAATAGATGTGTTCACCGGATATGGTGACCGCAGTCCACAACGACCACCACAACTTCGACCAGCACGGTGACCACCACCACTACCACCTCCACCATCACCACCACAGTGCCTTGACAGAGATGTGCCATGGGGAAGTTCGCTGGATTTGATGATTAAAAATAGGGATTCAATGGGATATTAATGGGAAATACTGAGATATCATCAAGTTAGTTGGATTGGATTCATCAAATGTTAGATTAATAGTGGGATTTGAATGGGATCATCTTTTGCAAAAAAAAGGGGATGTTGCTGAATGATCATCCCATGTAGTGCTGAAGAATCCTGGTGATCGGAGTCTCCCAACTTGGGTTATCTCATTTGGCTTAACTCTGAATCACGTCCGAAGTACGATGAATACCCAACTCCCAACAAGCTGGTGGGGATGTTGCAAGAACAAATTCTCAGCTGCTTGCAACTTCCGGTAATCAAACGTGGGTGGAAAATCCCACTTCGATGATCCAGTCACGTTACATTACCAACGGGTATATATAGAGAAATAACGACTAACCGAACTAACCAATCATTTGCACCCTCTACAACCCCATACCGTGGGGCACGGTAGAATTGGGATCTTCTTTGCCCAGGTTTGGGGAATAGAAAAACACCATGGAATCTGAGTCCATCTATCCTTCAGCTCATTTCAGCTCTAAATGTGGGCTTGTGTTATCATCATTATCATCCCTTTGGGACAGGACATGTTGAGTGTTCAGCTCCCCTCAGCCGCTCAGCCCCTCCCTGCCACTCTCAGACTACAAGCACCACGACTGAAACGACCACCACCACTTCCACAACAACCATCACCACATCGACCACCTCAACAGCAACAGCCTCAGTTCTCGGCGTGGAAGGATGGGATCATATGAACGCAGGCAGCTTCAAATGCTTGTTTGATAAGCAAGAGCGGAGATTGGACACCGTGGTGAGGACAATGATTCTGAAGAAGTCTTTGATACCGGTCTCGGTAAACTGAAGGGGGTAGGATTGGTGAACCAGCAAGGCCACGCCCGGGGCCCATGTCCTGTCAACATATCGTCCGTTTACGCGTCTTAAAGGGCGTGGTTCAGAGCCTTCTGATGTGCGAACATCCAGAAATACCAGCTATACACGTTTTAACCAGCTATCATCCATCGCTAGAATTAGTATAACGACATCCAGAACTACCTTCCACATCATGCACCAGCAATCATCCAGCTATCCACCAGCTGCACTGAGACCACCATTACTTCAACCTCCACCACCACGACCAGTACCAGCACAACCACCACCAGTACCAGCACAGCACGGGGCCTCAGAGTGGGGTAGTCTGGGGACCCAAAAGCTGATGTGCTTGCAAAATGTGGTTTTAATGTTTTTCATGGATATGTGGTGAATAAATTAAATAAAGTGCTTGGAGGTTTCAAGTCTTTGTTTTCTATCTCTTTTCCCAATGGATGGATGTTGGCTGCTTGCTGTCAGCTGCCCCCTTGACCTTGACCGATGCTGAGCACTGCACTTTAGTTTACCATGTTTGGTTCCGATGCCCAGCTTGCACCATAAATGCAAGGCTTGCCCCTTTGCCATTGTCTGCAATGCTCGCAAATCATCAGTATTGATCAGTCGGCCTTCGTGGGGCATTTAGCCACTAGACCCCAAAAATGTAGGAGTTTCTAAAAATTGGGTTTCCCAAAATTCCACTAGTTAATCATGTGTTTCCCGTCTTTTCTTGGCTATATTTGGAGGTAAATTCATGTAAATTCCCCATTTTCGGATCCATGATATCCCATCAAATATCCGCATAAAATGGTTCTGTATACCAGGTTTTTTTTAAAACCACACCATCCCAACGGACAAAACTGCTCCGAGACCACCCGAACATCAACGACCACCACCACCACCAGCACGACCACAAGCACAACCACTGTGACAGTTCTCGCCTCAATGGTCTCGGTCTTCAATGATAAGAATTGGAACCCAACCGGTGTGGGTTTAATGGGATTTAAGCAACACAAAATGGTGGTAGGGATAGACTGAAATATTCATGGGATATCTAATGTGGATGGAATCTTAATGGCTTAATGGATCCTATGGTAATCAAATGTGGCTGGACCATCAACGAAATAGAGGTTTCGTTCGCAAAATCATCGAACTCAATGGAGGATTTTCCAGCCACGTTTGCCAGAGGGTATGGGACAGAGATGGGATTGATGTTCGATATGCCATGCCTTCGGCTACACTGATGGTTGATCATGTGGGCTATTATCAGTATTGGTGGCATAGCAGACACGTGAAATGGACACGAATGTGGCGCAAATGGTAAACCGAAAATATCCCAACACTTCCCCACGACTACAACTGGTGTATATTTGAAGCAACTCAAGTGATTTGAGGGTCCCACTGCGCTTTCAAGTGACCATTGGCACATCCGCTCAGACAGCACTTTTGTGTGCACCTGACGAAAATGGCCAAAATCAATCCAAAGTGAGTTTCTGTTTTTCTTCGACCAATACCCAACAGTGTGATTAGTGATTTGTGGACCAACAGTTGTGTCATGTGGTAAATCCAATAAAGCATCTCCCAAAAATGTGGATTTCTAACTAGTGGCAAAAATAAACCTGGAAAAAAAGATGGCTCTAAGCCATGGTTTTATCATTGCCATCTCATTTTTTTTTCGCGCCACCTTAGATTTCGACCGTCCGCCCAGACGACCAGCACCGCACCACCACCACCAGCACGTCACCACCAGCACCTCCACAACGACGGTGACCACGACCACCACCACCTCTACGGTGACGACCACCACCACAAAGGTGCCTGGAAATCATCGCTTTTTTGCAAAGTTACCCAAAGGAGGAAATTCCTTATCAATGAGCATTTAAATAATTTTAAATATGGAAAAGTCATCGATTTGTCAAGAAATTGGGACATGGGGATTTCATGAGAGAATCATAGTTACATCCTGCAGAAACCATGATAACAAGTGCGGGATTAGGTGTTTAAATGTGTTTAATATGAATGGGAGATGAAATCAATTGGGATCATTTGGGATTTGGATTGCGTTTGATTTTGGTAAAACATTGGAAAATGGAAAAAATGAGGGATAGCCATGACAATATTGGCATCCAATGTTCAAGCAGGCCCCGCCAGGCTCCACGGGTTACTTGGTGGCACATTTGGCGGTTCTCTGAGAATCCTCAAGATCCTGCTAGGTCCTGCTACTGAGCAACCCATCTCCAGCATTGATGGTTTGTTGGCCCTGGATGCGCCAAGGAGACCTGTGGTATTTGTGACCTGGAGAATCACACAGATGTGCAGCTGCCATGTGTTGAAAGGGACAGATGTGGAAGTCCCAAAAGCCGGGCCCCGTGCTCTTCGCTTCAGAGATTCCTGTAAGCTTCCAACTCCAATGGTTTGACAGCAAATGCACACCCCAGTGGGTGATAGTGTCTATGAGTACTTAAATGTACTTAAGTACTACCTCTGCAGCCACGCAAAGACAGACGGAGGAATTGGATGACATCAGGCTGCTTCTTGGAACCCCGTCAACAACGGCTCGATGACCCTCACAGGATGCATGAAGAGCACTGAGCACAAATCCAACTGGTTGGAGATGGAAAATTCAGGGCTAATCCCCCAAGTTTTCACCATTCTAGAAAGCTGACGGTAAATGAATCTAAATGATGCCATTTTCGGACTCAAAGTCATCATGTTTTCTCATTAGAACAAGATTTGACTTCCATTCAACCTCCTTAAACCATGAAAAAACCTGGATGAACCTCCAAATTCCACCATGAAGACCATAACAGCGGTGCAGGACCCTCGATAGAGAACCTGTTGAAACAGGATGGCATGACTTGGGAGTTGATGTGGCAGAGCAAGTCCAAACCCAACATGGACAATGCCTTCCTGTGCCTGGGAGCAGGGGGTTGCTGGATGTTGCTGGATGTTGCTGGTTGCGTTGCTGTCATCATTTGTTGTTCCATTTTTCCAACAAGAATCGGTTGGATTTTGTTCAGCTCTAAATGCGATGTTCGCCCTGCCACACAATTTTTCGGCAGTATCCTTGATCTCAACATGTCTTGTAGCATCAATGTTGACGGGAGGCCAGCTGCAGCAGTGCATTTGTTTGTCAAATCCTGGACTATTCAGTAAGTCCCGGAATCTCAGTGAATCTTACTTTACGATCTTCCCAATCCCCATCTAAATCTACATCTACAGTCATCTAAGTCATCTACAAAAAGCCCAGAAAACAGATGTGTTTTTCAGGTAACCATTGAAAAGATGTTGAAAATATGTTGAAAATCCCGAAAATCAGGATGGGCACCTGGAACGGCCTGGGCTGCTGGGAACCTGGCGCCCTGATCACCATCCGCGACGATGGAAAGCTCAACATGTTGGCGGTGATCAACGGCCACGCGGCGGTGTGTTGGAAAGTCCTAGCTATTTGAAGTCGAAAATGGTATTTGGGATGAAGTTGGGATGTAGCTATACGCTATTTTCAGGTTGATGATGTTGATGATGTTGATGATGTCTAAAAATAGGTGCTATTTCAATAAGGAAGATGCTGATAATCCAATGGATTTAGGGGTATTTTCAGACAAAGCCATGTGTTGTTAAGAAAAAGTGTTTGGACTTTTGTACCAAGAAAGGATGGATTTCAGGAGTTGACCGATGTGGTCAGATTTCACCAGGTTGAAGCATCAAAGTTTTACCCTTTGGGAGGTTTTGATGCAACTGCAAATTCCCATTTGAAATCCTAAAAGACTCTAGGACTGGTTGCGGTATGCCCAAGGTCACCTAGAGGGAAACCTTAATAAGATGCGAAATGGGAAAGAACGAAGCTACAACAGACAAACACAAGATCCAGTTGCGATGATTGAAACTTTCCCAGCCCAAACTCACACCCAGAACTTTTCAGTATAAACCAAGGTGAATACAAGTCTTTGCCCAACCTCTGCAGCGTCTCGGCATGGAAGTGGATATCATGTGGATCATGTCTGAGAGGTCCTTGATGTCTGGATTTGTTGGCCGGAAAGCTGTCAAATCCCAACCTTTGAATCCCAAACATCAGGTGCTTCAAAAATCTGCAAGAAAATCAGATAGAAAAGAATCGTTCCTTTAAATCTTCCCTTCAACCACACGAGCTACCCGGTATTACCCGGTCCACGTGTGCCCATGGCCCAGACAAGAATGTCCTGGACGGAGAGTGGCATCACATTGTGGCCACCTTCAGCCAGAGTCACTTGGTAGAAAAACACCTCTGTTTGGTGGGTTTCCCATAAAATCCTGCATAAAATCCTGCAAAGGATTGGCTACAGCTACGGTAGCATTTGCTACATGATTTCAACCTGAGCTGTAGAGTTTCAAACCTTGGTCTCAGCCTCTCACGATTTTCCGGTCCAAATTGGGTTGCGGCAGAACAATTCTCCCATACTTAAGATGCTTAGGTCCTCAAAGTATGACTCATGTAGGGCTTGTAACCCCTTTCACCACCATTTATCCACGATTTCACCACAATTTATCCATTTATCCATCATTAAACCATGAACCATCAACCATCATCAGCCATCATCAACCATCATCATCATCAACCCACCACTTCACCACAATCCCAGGTAATAAGACGATGCGGCTCATCGTGGACGGCTGCATTGAGTCGGAGTTGCAGCGCACCTGGAATCCACGACGCTTGCAGCAGGTGAAAGTTTCATCCCAACAGATGTAACATATGGATTTGTTTGAAATTAGGGAAGCTCCAAATTTGATGGAGATCTTCATTTTCCCTCATGTTCGAGCCATTTGGGGGGATATTGCATTTTCAGACACCATATCAGGGGAACAAATTGATCACAATTCGTGTGGTGAACCACAGAATTCACAGGGAAAATTTCAAGGAAAAATATATAACAATCAAACCCAACAAATATATATATATATACAGATACATATTAATGATCACAATAAGAATTTCAGAACCACATCATCCCATTTATGATATGTATGGTGAAGGTTCATGGTGAATGATGAGCTGAAACTACACTGCGGCTCTCAGGATTCCAAGCCTTCAACTTGGGCTACGAGCCAGGTGGGTCACCGGCCTTTTTGAAACGGAGAAAAGCTGGCGTAGGCAGCGTAGGCATAGGGTAGACCCCACTTTTGGACCCATGGGCGTGTTGCTTCGTCCCATTAGCCACCGAATGGTGAACCTGGCCATAGAACCTCCGCTCGCAGGAGAGAAAGGCATCGGTAGCAAGTTCCTGGCGAAGGTACAAGGGCCACGACTACCAGCACGACTCTCGCTCCCCTGGCTGCAGATTAGCATCTAGCGGCTCTAGCGATTTTGGGAAGTCCAGTTGCCACTTTGGGACCAAACCAGCCCATGACTACGTTTCAGGCTGTTGGCGCCAAAATCCAAACTCAAAGAAAGTTAAATCGGATTTTCATCTTTGGTCACTGCAAACTCCCCAAACTGTGGGGCTTTCCCGGTTTTCCCCAGGGTTCCCCATGGCATTTGGATTTCACCGTTTCACCCAAACCACCTCTCCGAGATCCAGGTTATGGGCGCCTGGTCTTTTGGAACCGGGCTTTGGATCCTCATGAGATCTCCTTGAAACATAGCACCGCCTGCTGCAAGACCGGCTTGGTGGCCATTTACCGCTTCGACGGGGAGATGGGGATTGGATGGATGGGATGGATAGGATGGATAGGATGGGATGGGGCCAAGAGGAAACTTGCCAGATTTTTGGGAAATATTGGTGAATGGTTGGCTAATAGCTTGAGACTTGGCCTGATGTGTGAAAAAAACGAAAAAAAACAGTATCCTAATGTATCCCACTAAGGATCAGTTTTTGCTGGGTAACCATCGGCCATGGCAGCGTGAAGTCATGGAATCCAACGAAGGGGACTGCAATGGTTGCAGATTTGGTCCAGGTGAACAGCAACGGTACACACCAGTCCTTAGAGTCTTAGAGGGATAAGATGAAGCTGCACCCAAGATTGGTGGGCCCACAATTTCTTGTGACACCCACACTGAATGGAAGCAGATTGATTTGTAGGACTACATAGATGCGCTTCACAATTTCGAGCACTTCCAGCATGCCCAGGTAGGGCATGGTAGGGCAACGACTGCCATTCTGTCAGTCATGCGGAGCATCTTTAGTCCTGGAACAGGCCATGTTGAGCATAAGATGAAGGTGCACATCATTCAGATGATGATTCCCCAACATATCCCAGTCATTTCAGGTTATCCTTCTAGCTAATCTGTGGTAAAGTTCGCCTGTTTATAGATTGTTTTCCGTTCATAGAGGGGGAAAATCCGATTGCCATTTTGATTGTGGAATTTGTACTTGCCATGGATCCATCTGTTGGAAACAGTGCCAAACTCCCAGGGCGAGTTCGAGAACGAGGATGGTCCAGCCGTGTGTGTCACTTGGCTGAAGAGCAGGGTATGCTTTGAGGCTCATTCTCTTTGGGCACCCATATTTTGTTGGAAGAAATGATTGCCATTGATCGTGATATCAATTTGGAGGATGATGGTGGTGGTGGCGGCGGTGGTGGTGAATCGTGGTGATCCTACGGTGATTTAGTGTGCCGACAGAGAACAATAGGATTGAGGTTCTTGCGAATCTACCGTGATGACCTTGACATGATCATTGAAAAATTGGCCCTGGCTCAACAAGTGTGGCGAAAGATACTGCATGACCATTTTGTTTTCCAATTGAACGCAGAAGGACATGTTAAAGGAAAAAAGATCTGCACGTTTCGCGTTTTTCCCGAGAGCGTCTGAGCGCAGGGTTCTTCCAATAGTGGGGGTCTGTATCTCATCTTCTCATCTTCACACCTTCTCATCTTCACACCTTCTCATCTTCACACCTTCTCATCTTCTCATCTTCACATTTGCTCATCTTCACATCTGCTCATCTTCACATCTGCTCATCTTCACATCTGCTCATCTTCACATCTGCTCATCTTCACATCTCATCTTCACATCTGCTCATCTTCACATCTGCTCATCACATCTGCTCATCACATCTGCTCATCTTCACATCTGCTCATCTTCACATCTGCTCATCTTCACATCTGCTCATCTTCACATCTGCTCATCTTCACATCTGCTCATCTTCACATCTGCTCATCTTCACATCTGCTCATCTTCACATCTGCTCATCTTCACTTCACATCTGCTCATCTTCACATCTGCTCATCTTCACATCTGCTCATCTTCACATCTGCTCATCTTCACATCTGCTCATCTTCACATCTGCTCATCTTCATCTTCACATCTTCTCTCTCTCCTTTCTCTCTCCTTTTTCTCTCTCTCGCCTTCTTTATCTTTCTCTCCTTTAGGCCGAGGGTGGTACCTGCGGTGAGTCACGAAACGTCAACCATTTCGCACGAAATGAGGGTCGATCGGCAAAAACTGAGGTAAAATTGCGATTTTACTTGTCCTGGAGCAACCCTTTCGCACGAAATGAGGGTCGATCGGCAAAAACTGAGGTAAAATTGCGATTTTACTTGTCCTGGAGCAACCCTTTCGCACGAAATGAGAGTCGATCGGCAAAAACTGAGGTAAAATTGCGATTTTTCGTGTGCTGAAGCAACCCTTTCGCACGAAATGAGGGTCGATCGGCAAAAACTGAGGTAAAATTGCGATTTTACTTGTCCTGGAGCAACCCTTTCGCACGAAATGAGGGTCGATCGGCAAAAACCGAAGTAAAATTGCGATTTTACTTGTCCTGGAGCAACCCTTTCGCACGAAATGAGGGTCGATCGGCAAAAACTGAGGTAAAATTGCGATTTTACTTGTCCTGGAGCAACGCTTTCGCACGAAATGAGGGTCGATCGGCAAAAACTGAGGTAAAATTGCGATTTTTCGTGCTGGAGCAACCCTTTCGCACGAAATGAAGGTCGATCGGCAAAAACTGAGGTAAAATTGCGATTTATCGTGTGCTGGAGTAATCCTTTCGCAGGAAAACGGGTTTGTGTGCACGAGCGTTTCTGTGTAAAGATGTTTGTGTGTAAAAGTGTTTGTGTGCCAAGTGCATCTGTGTAAAAGTGTTGTGTGTAAAACCTTCTGTGTGTAAAAGTCTTTGTGTGTAAACGGGTTTGTGTGTAAAAGCTTTTGTGTGTAAAAGTGTCTCTGTGTAAAAGGGTTTGTGTGTAAGAGTGTTTCTGTGTGAAGATGTTTGTGTATAAAAGTGTTTGTGTGTAAAAGTGTCTGTGTGTCAAAGCGTGTGTGTGTAAATGTTTCTGTGTGAAAAGGTGTCTGTGTGTAAAAGCTTCTGTGTAAAAGCTTCTGTGTGTGCAATCTTCTGTGTGTAAAAGCCTCTGGGTGTAAAAGCATCTGTGTGTAAAAGGTTTTCTGTGTGTAGAAGTGCATCTGTGTAGAAGTGTCTGTGTGTAAAAGCTTTTGTGTGTAAAAGTGTCTGTGTGTAAAAGTGTCTGTGTAAAAGCGTCTGTGTGCAAAAGCTTCTGTATGTAAAAGCTTCTGTATGTAAAAGCTTCTGTGGGTAAAAGCTTTGTGTGTAAAAGCCTCTGTGTAAAAGCTTCTGTGTGTAAAAGCTTTTGTGTGTAAAAGCGTCTGTGTGTAAAAGCTTCTGTGTGTAAAAGTGTTTGCGATGCACACTATTGTCTTGCACTTCTCACTATTTTGTCTTGATACTCCTCTTCTCGACTGCCTATTATAACACATCTTTCATATATTGTTTGTAAAATTGTGTCTCCATACTAACAAGAGAAGACCCTGCTCCTCTACGCTCTCGGGCCATCCGTCGTCTAGTTGCGCTTTTTGGTCAATCCTGTACTATGACTGGCTGTGGTTAGGAGCCACCGATGTGAGCTCCACAGGCGCGACGTGGGACAGCGTCGATGAGAAATCACGAAAGTCGTCGGATGGGTCACCCATGGAGTTTTTGTTGGCCCCACAGACCTCCCACGGACGAGATTTAACCACAGATTGACCCTGGTTCACACTGTGAGTTCACACTCATTTTTCCACAAGAAGTCATTCAGTCTATCCACCGTTTCTCACTAGAATCACCCAAAAGGATCCCTCAAGGGTTTCCCGGTGAAAACTGCGAAATTGGAGTTTCAAAAAAGGCACTGCTTCCTCCATTGGTAAATCATCCCTCTTGGGGATGACAAAATTCACGTCCCGTGCGCAGGACTTGATCTCAACCTGAACCACCAACACGCTCGCGACGTGTAAAAAGAATGAGTCCAAAGCCCATAGATTGGTGGAAGGGGTGGTGAAAACACAGAGCTGAAACCCTAGAGCATGGGAAATGGCAGGAGATTCTGTCACTTTCGGCACCATTTTCAGCAGGTCATGGAGACGAAACGATTCAGAATGATCCAAGATGTGTATGATCCAAGATGTTGCATCCAGTTGAGCCCAGAAGATTCATAGAATACTTCAGATGACAAGCTGCCTTAGTAGGCTCCAGCTTAGGGCGCCGGATGCCGCATTGGCGTATATTGGCGTTCACGTTGCTCCACGTGATCCCTAGGCACCTTTAAATCACAGCTGTGGAGTTTTCGCCACTAATGTTCGCTTTTGATGTAAATCCTGTGGTTAAATCGCTCTCATGCGACACTGAGATGGTTCTTTTCCATTCTTTTCCAACTTGAAATTGTTTCATGCCTTCAGATATCGAAAAAATACGAGCACAAGGCGCCACTCATGCGTCAAAAGAATTTGCTCAGCCCCTTTCAAGGCATCTCTGTTTTTTTTGCTTATCCCTTTCCAGTCATATCAAAATCTTCGAAATCCAGCCATTTTTCGCCATTTTCCCTGGCAGTTTGACCACTTTTTTCGGATGACCCGCCCAAGCCATGCCCAAAACGGTTCCTGTGCGCTTCGTGATCATCGGTAGCGGTGGATCCAGCAGCCTTCCCAACCTCAGGCACCGCAGGGGGCACCAGGGGCAGGGGCACCAAAGGTGGGACGATGGGGGCAATCCAGATCAGATTTAATATGGGGAGATGTTGCAATGATACATTGGGATGGGGTGATTCCACAATGGGACACCATCCCCCCATTTGGCCTCACTGGTGCAGCGTCGAAGCCCTAGGCACGTACTTCAAAAGGACGCTGGCTGCAAGGTGTGCCATGAGGTGCGCACCAGCCTAGCCGCAGCTGACATAGATGGAATGTATAAAAAATGTATAAAAAATGTATAAAGAATGTATGGAATGTGTCAAGGTGACATACTTCAGATTCAGATTCATCAAATTGGTGAGCAAAAATCCATGAGTTGGTCCATCACTCAGGCCTGGGAGAATCCTGACTCCAAGAATCGTCGTGGCAATCCCTGCGACTCGGAGATCTTCCCCCATCGTTTTGTCTGAAAATATGGTATCCCTCACTCCCAATGGTTCATATTTTTTCCCATTAGAAAGGCTATTGGGGGAATACACCATGTCTAGTCACACCTATATGTCTCCTTTTTTAAGCTTTATATAGATGGCAGGTTGACAAGGATGGAGACATAGTTTGATAGATGTAAGGTCTGCATACGCAAGATGCTCGCAGATCTAAATGTCAATTTGCAGAGATCATCTAGATTGGCTCATAACTAGAGATCATTTGGAGAAGAAGACTGGCAACCAAAGTTGCATATCGCCAAGCGACCAAACCATTTGATTTCATGTCCAGATAAAGACTTGCAACTGCCAGTGATCATGTTTTCAGAAGGTGGTGCCCCTCCACTTTTGTTTGTTGGTTTATCACAGCAACTAATTCTCTAATTCGATATATCTGCCATAAAAATCCAAGTTATTTGAGTTATCAACCAACTTAGCTAACGAATTCTGTGGCACCACCAAGCGCACCTCCCACGGTTTTCACCAAAAAATCCAGGTTTGCTGGTGACGGTACGAGACCCTGCCTCCGAGCCACAGCATCTTCTGGTGGATTGTGGCAAGACATTCGAAGAGGCAGCAGGGCCTGGTAGCTTTCGAATATGTTATGATTAGCTGCTTGTTGACCTTTGATATGGTTATATAGTTATATTATATTATATATATATTTCTTACATTTTGATGATTTCGAATATGTTACCAGTAGTACCGCACAAGGCGGTGGCGGAAGTTTCAAAAATAGGAAACCTATAGGAGAGGTTGGTGGTTGTGAATCAGGGATGGCAGAGCGAAGCCACTGATGGACCGAAAGGTGCTTGAGGTCTCCTCTCTTTCTCTCTCTTTCTCTGACTATCTATCTATGTATCTATGTATCTATCTCCTATCTATCTATCTATCGATCTGTCTATCTATCTATGTACCTTTCTATCTATCTACCTATCTATCTGTCTATCTATTTATCTATCTATCTCCCTCTCTCTCTTTCATCTAATTACCTATCTATCTATCTATCTATCTCTCTCTCTCTCTATCTATTTATCTGTCTGTCTATCTATCTAGCTATCTGTCTATCTATCTATCTATCTATGTATCTGTCTGTCTGTCTATCTATCTATGTATCTATCTATCTTTCTTTCTTTCTATCTATCTCTCTATCTATCTATCTGTCTGTCTGTCTGTCTGTCTGTCTATCGATCTGTCTGTTTTTCTGTCTGTCTATCTGTCTAGCCATCTATCTATCTATCTCGTCTACCCAGCTGGCCTCTCTCTCTCTCTCTCTTTCATTTAATTACCTATCTATCTATCTATCTACCTACCTGTCTATCTCTCGCTCCCTTTCATCTGTCTATCTGTCTAGCTGTCTACCTGTCTATCTGTGTTGCAGTGTCATTCAGTGTAATGTAGTGTGGTGTAGTGTAAGTTAGTGTAGTGGAGTGTACTGGAGTGTAATGTACTGTAATGTAGTGTGACTTCGAAGTGTGCTTCGCGCCACAACAGCGTACACTTTTTCAACATCTGAACCTCCAAAAATGGTTGCAGTGGTCACCTCACCCACAACTGCTGGATGTAGTGTGATGTACTGCAACTGTAGTTGTAGTTGTAGGGTAGTGGAGGTGTAGTTGTGGTGTAATGTAATTAGTGTAGTGTAGTTGCAGTCATATAGTTGTAACTAGTTGTTTTGTAGTTGTAGTTGTAGTTGTTGTAGTTGTAGTTGTTGTTGTTGTTGTAGTTGTAGCTGTAGCTGTTGTGTGGTTGTAGTTGTCGTGTAGTGTAGTTGTTGTAGTAGTAGTAGTAGTAGTTGTTGTTGTTGTTGTTGTTGTAGCTGTTGTAGCTGTTGTAGTTGTTGTTGTTGCTGTTGTTGTAGTTGTTGTTGTTCTTGTTGTTGTTGTTGTTGTAGCTATAGGTTGTTGTTGTTGTTGTTGTAGCTGTAGTTGTTGTAGTTGTAGTTCTAGTTGTTGTTGTGTAGTTGTAGTTGTAGTTATTGTAGTTGTTGTTGTTGTTGTTGTTGTTGTTGCTGTTGTTGTTGTTGCTGTTGCTGTTGTTGTTGTTGTAGTTGTTGTAGTTCTAGTTCTAGTTGTAGTTGTAGTTGTAGTTGTTGTGTAGTTGTTGTAGTTGTAGTTGTTGTAGTTGTTGGTGTTGGTGTTGTTGTTGTTGTTGTTGCTGTTGCTGTTGCTGTTGCTGTTGTCGTCGAAGTTAGGGTAGTTAAGTTAGTGAAGTTAGTTAAGTTAGTCAAGTTAGTTAAGTTAATCAGTGTCTACTTTTTCGACATCTTCACGTCAAAAAAGACTCAAAACCCTCAGTTGTTTACACTTTTGACTTCGAAATGTGCTTCGCGCCACAACGGCGTGCACTTTTTCGACACTTTTTCGACATCTGAACCTCCAAAAGTGGTCCGAGAATGGTGTGTTTTGTACATTTTGACTTCAAAATGTGCTTCGCGCCACAACGGCGTGCACTTTTTCGACATCTCAACTTCCAAAAGTCGTCCGACACTGAGGTGTTTTGTACATTTTGACTTCAAACTGTGCTTCTCGCCACAACGGCGTGCACTTTTTCGACATCGCAACTTCCAAAAGTGGTCCGCTCCTCTAGTGTTTTGGCCATTTTGACTTGGAAATGTGCTTCGCGCCACAACGGCGTGCAACTTTTCATCTCTCATCTGGCCAGCTGGCTCTGCACCCGCCGCTTTAGCGAGCCTACTTTTTGACCCTCCGGAGCCACAAATCATTGGAAAAATACAGTGTTTCGCGACTTTCCTATCTTTTCGCGCATCTACCTCTTCTTTCTTCTTATCGTTTCTCTTCTCTCTGCCTCTTCCCTGCTCTGCGTTTCAACTGTCCATATTGTCGGAAGTTTAGCTTCTAAACTTCCTTCGATGATTAGCTGCTTGTTGACCTTTGATATGGTTATATAGTTATATGTTATAGTATATATATATATATATATTTCTTACATTTTGATGATTTGGACATGTTTTAACCCTGTCTGAGATGATAATCCCCATTGGCTTATGTAATTTGGAGTTAAAACCAATCAGATTGATAGTCTTTAGGTGCCAAATAAAGGTGATTTGGATTCAAGATCAGAGATTGGTATAACCATGATTGATTTCAAACGTCTTTTCCTTATTTTCCCCCTTTCGAAAAATGGCAGGCAGTTCGGCGACACTTTCCCAGGCTGGGGATTCAAGGCGTCAACGTTCCCTGGCAGCATCATGGTCAACATACTTCCAGAATGGGATATACCTCTACGACCTATACGCATTATGCTTAAGTTATAGTTCCATGATATATGATGTATATTTATATGCATTTATCTATGCTTATATTTACATCTAGTAGAATGGTTTATGATGTATCTTTACATATTTATATTTAGAAAAATACATCAGCCATTACATCTGCCAAATATTTCTTCCCAGGGTTCCCTTTGAGGCTGTCCTGCTGACACACGGCCATGCCGATGCCATCCTGGGTCTGGACTCCTTGCGCGAGGCGAGTCGCGGTCGTGGCGGGCCACTTCCTATGGATGGGCAATGATGGATAGATGCTACATAAGACATATATACACAATCAATATACATACATATATACATAATATGTATATATGTATGTAATGTAATGTAATGTAATGTAATATACATATTATGTATGTATGTATGTATGTATGTATGTATGTAATGTATGTATGTATGTATGTATGTATGTGATGCATGCATGGATGTATGTATGTAATGTAATTTAATGTAATGTAATGTAATTTAATGTAATTTAATGTAATTTAATGTAATGTAAGTATGTATGTATGTACGTACGTACGTATGTATGTATGTGATGCATGCATGGATGTATGTATGTAATGTAATTTAATGTAATGTAATGTAAGTAAGTATGTATGTATGTACGTACGTACGTATGTATGTATGTATGTGATGCATGCATGGATGTATGTAATGTAATTTAATGTAATGTAAGTAAGTATGTATGTATGTACGTACGTACGTATGTATGTATGTATGTATGTGATGCATGGATGTATGTATGTAATGTAATTTAATGTAATGTAAGTAAGGATGTATGTATGTACGTACGTACGTACGTATGTATGTATGTATGTATGTGATGCATGCATGGATGTATGTATGTAATGTAATTTAATGTAATGTAATATAATGTAATGTAATGTAAGTAAGTAAGTATGTATGTATGTACGTACGTACGTATGTATGTATGTATGTGATGCATGCATGGATGTATGTATGTAATGTAATTTAATGTAATGTAAGTAAGTATGTATGTATGTACGTACGTACGTATGTATGTATGTATGTGATGCATGCATGGATGTATGTATGTAATTTAATGTAATGTAAGTAAGTATGTATGTATGTACGTACGTACGTATGTATGTATGTATGTGATGCATGCATGGATGTATGTATGTAACGTAATTTAATGTAATGTAATGTAAGTATGTATGTATGTATGTACGTACGTACGTATGTATGTATGTATGTGATGCATGCATGGATGTATGTATGTAATGTAATTAAATGTAATGTAATGTAATGTAATGTAAGTAATGTATGTATGTATGTATGTAGGTATGTAGGTATGTAGGTATGTAGGTATGTAGGTATGTAGGTATGTAGGTATGTAGGTATGTAGGTATGTATGTATGTATGTATGTATGTAATGTATGTAATGTATGTAATGTATGTAATGTATGTAATGTATGTAATGTATGTAATGTATGTAATGTATGTATGGTATGTAATGTATGTAATGTATGTAATGTATGTAATGTATGTAATGTATGTATGTATGTAATGTATGTAATGTATGTAATGTATGTAATGTATGTAATGTATGTAATGTATGTAAGGTATGTAATGTATGTAATGTATGTAATGTATGTAATGTATGTAATGTATGTAATGTATGTAATGTATGTAATGTATGTAATGTATGTAATGTATGTAATGTATGTAATGTATGTAATGTATGTAATGTATGTAATGTATGTACTGTATGTACTGTATGTACTGTATGTACTGTATGTACTGTATGTACTGTATGTACTGTATGTACTGTATGTACTGTATGTACTGTATGTAATGTATGTAATGTATGTAATGTATGTAATGTATGTAATGTATGTAATGTATGTAATGTATGTAATGTATGTAATGTATGTAATGTATGTAATGTATGTAATGTATGTAATGTATGTAGTGTATGTAGTGTATGTAGTGTATGTAGTGTATGTAGTGTATGTAGTGTATGTAGTGTATGTAGTGTATGTAGTGTATGTAGTGTATGTAGTGTATGTAATGTATGTAATGTATGTAGTGTATGTAATGTATGTAATGTATGTAATGTATGTAATGTATGTAATGTATGTAATGTATGTAATGTAATGTATGTAATGTATGTATGTATGTATGTATGTATGTGATGCATGCATGTATGTATGTATGTATATATGTATATATGTATTTATAAATGGATATGTTGTGTATATTTGGAACATGAGTAGTCCCTTTTGACCCTCATAGTATCACGGCATTACCTTGCTATATCGCGATAAAAAAAAAAGACTTGGCCAGGTACAGTTGGCCCGTGAACCTCCTAGCCAGTGGGTCTTGAAAGCGAAGACTCCCATCTTTGCCAGCAGAGACACAGTCAAAGAGGTGGCAATGGGTAGGACTGTTGGGACATTTGGATGGAATGATCCAAGGAATTTGTCCTTTGGCAATCAAATATACCAATGGAAAATCACTTTGTAAATGTCCCATTAAAAAATTAGCACATGCTGACTCATGAAATTTTCCAATTCCAAGCCACTGCAGAGTTGAGAATGCTTCATTGTCATGCGATAGTTGATGCCAGGCATCAAATGATGGCTAAATTCTTTCAGGGGTATGATTCACTCACAACCGCTTTCCGATATGCAAGTAATGCGGTGAAGCCTCAACCATGAACATAGTCGAATGATGCAATCATAAATCAGAACCGCGTATCAACAAGATATTAGATCAAAATATTGATGTCCGCAATTCCTACAAGCATATTAACATGAATCTTATTGATTCATTTGGAACTATTGAGAAATCATAAATCATAATCATATTGACCCAATCAATAAGTGTATATATACGTGTATAAATATATATATATATATATTCCAAAGGGCAAACTTGGCTCGTCCAATTCCAAGCACATCACATCGCTAGGTCTGGAGCCACTTCCACTACATGTTGCCGGTGGGCTCTGGCTCGCCCTCTCTGCGACGGAGGACCTCCACTTCTCGGAGCCTTCGGCGCACGTGTTGAAACCGCGGCCGAAGGGAAAGCTTGCTTTCGGAAGTTGGAAATTCCCCAAGCATCAAAGAACTTGCCAAAGTGATTTCTTTTTACGCCTAATCACCTACCGTCTGCACATTTGTTTAATGGAAATGGGTCAACCTTTCTACTGAGTGCTCTAGAAGTTGGTTTTGAAGCCTGCAACGCTGCCCCATCGTCACGTTGATTCAAGTTGATTCATCCAATTCACAGTTTTGAGCCATGTTTTATCCCATGACATGATACAATTTGAAGCTGTTTGAAGATGTAGCATTTTTGGCACTTCAGTCCGGGTGTCTGAGGATCGCCACTGGACTGGCGCCCCATCGAGTGGCAGACTTTCAGAAGTTTCAGCCACTGTCAGGCCTAACGATCCGGATTCTGCAAGAAAATGATGGGTTTGGCACTTTGGTGCCACAAATGTTGGTATAATGGCTATAAATGAGTATATCACCAATGCAAACTGCTGTTTTTGTTTTATTTTGTTTTCATGCGATTTGCCTTCCACGTACCTGGCATCATAATCACGATTGACTTTTATTTTTGCAGTGTGGCACGAATTCCAGCAGCCTTTCGACTTGCCCATTTTCAGAACGGGTGGCTCCACCAACCAGTTATTTTGCTGAAGTATTGACGGTATTTACTACCATTTCGACTGATCATTCCTAGGTATGTTTCCAACTTGCGGGGAAGCCAGCCATAGTGTCACAAGCTGTTGTCCCAAAGTTTGTTTCCAGGATTGCAAGTGCAACCTTTGCCGGTGCTACACGGTGGAACCTATGTCTGCATGGGTTTTCGTTTTGGCGCCAAGGGCGAGTTCATTTATTTGTCCGTGCCTTGACGCCGACACCAAGTTTCAGGGTGGCGGTGGTGAGATTTCCGTCCTCCATCTCACTTTGAGATGGGAAGCCTCTCTTAATCATCAAACCACGTGTTATTCGCAAGCTTGCCTGAAACATGACAGCACTTCCTTTCAGTTTGCACTACACGGTCAGGAGTTTCCGCAGTTGGGCCCACAGCCCTGGCGCCAGGATGTCAGCAAAGTTCCTGACGATACCATGGCAATATTGAAATCTACTCAGGCGGAGGCACAGTCCGGTGAGTCCAGAAGCAGACTTCGATTCGCTTTACACAGAGTTTGAGCTTAAACCCAATTGGTCAGACACTGCAAGTGGCAGTGCGAGAATGAATTTGCAGGACTTTTGTTTGAGAATTTTCTGGATTGTTCTGTCAACTCTCAAGACTTTAACTTACTTTGACTTTGTTTTACGACTGCATTCCCTTTTGCTCGACGCACTCAGCTCGTCCCTTTCAGGTCCTAGTGGTGGATGCCTTGCTGAAATCAGGCGGAAATTCCGTGCAGGTGTCACAAGTGGACAGTGCTGTCAGTGGACAGCATGGGTTCCAGAACCCTCCCCGAATTGGTGCGTTGATCTCTGCGGGCAGGTCCCCACTACTCACATTTTGGACTCCCGCAAGCGCTCGAATTGGTGGGGTGCTCAGCTACCGGTCCCGGTGGTTCACAGCTTCCTGCGCACTTCAGTCAAGTCATTTGGATTCACGAGACATGTTGACAAAGCTCACCAAAGTTCCCAGAAACAATTTGTAAACCAAGTGCCGATACTGACTGCAATGATCTTGCAGGGACATGTCCATTGTAGAGTCTCCTCGAAGCCATCGATGTGAAGAATGGCTGAATAGCTGGGAAGTCCATTCGGTCCATTTCCGTACATTTGGAAACAGGTTGGGTTGCACGATGAGTTTCAGGTTCGTTTACTTCGACCAAAGCGAGCGTTGCTCATTGGCATGTGACTTGGAGCATTGCAAACTTCCGTATTGGAAACAGGTGGTGAATTGCTATCCTTGGGCCAAGCCAACTTGCTGAAGTTGGCAGGGATCTAAACGATTGCTTGACAAAGTGCTTGACAAGCTTGATTTTGAAGTGCTTTGGTATTGCTTATATTGCTTGCCTATTTGCATGTTGATGATTTTTTGGGTCGACACAAGCTCAGGATTCATGCACCTCAGCGTGCAACGCATGATTTGATGATTTGGGTCTCACTCTGAGGTCCTGCCAATTTGATCATTTTCATGACAACCAAGAGCTCTTCAAACTCCGATCTGAAGGGCTGCATGTGGAATTAAGTGGCTTGGCACAGCCCTCACTGCCCTCACTGAATCGGTCTGCTGGCACCACATCCTTGGAACTTGTTTCTTTCCAAGATTATCATAGTTTGGATATGAAGAAAGTCTTGCAAAACCTGTCACCTGTCATATCCAAGCCACATACATCCTTCCAGCGCTGAACCACAGCTTTAGGTTATGACGGTTTAGAGCTTGAGATGAACCTGACACTGGATGATGATGTGCCACTGTTGGAGGAGGTACGGTTCAGATGAAGTCTCAGGGGGAACCATGCGATGGAACAGGGCGAAGAAAAGCTGCAGATCTTAGAAGAAAATTGTTTGTAATTCCAACTTAGATGTGGGGTCATTTGCTCTGGCCAGTTGACTTGCTCAAAATGATTTCATGTTTCTAGGGAAGCCCGCAGAAAGAGCAAGAAAGTTGAGATTGTGCCTTCATCCAGCTTCCAGACCGTTCCTAACATTTGGTACTTCCTTGAAGTTGTCGCAACTTCACGGTTTCTCTGGGCGCCAGGAGACCTATGAATTGCAGCTCCCACCTCCACCTCCGAGTCGTCTTAGTCGTCTTCGAGTGCTTGGGCGATGCCTTTGCTGAGTCTTGGATTGCAATACTTGCGATGATTGCGATACGCAAAGACATGGCCAATGGTGCCCCAAATGGATGCAAATGACTTGATGATACTGAATGAATCTAATATTGTTTTGCTTCAGTTGTTCGAGGTTGACCTGCTGTTAAAGACCACTGCAAAACCTGACGATTTAATCAGGTAGGATCAGAAGAGTTGTGACGGGCCCTTGGATATTGATTGCAGAATTTGTGGGTGCAAGCCAGACCCTAGCCCAATACAACCCAGCACACCGCTGAGCAGTTGCAGGCTCATGATGACATGTGGCAAGATGCGTCGCTGCCACATCATGCTGCCACATCATAGGTCACGTTCGATTTTGAAAAGGCTTTGCAAATTGTAAAGGGTTGAAATTACGGCACATCATCCTGAAATGAGGGGAGTTGCCGAATTTTTCTTTGCCTGCTTCTTAAAAAAAATATTTATAAATGTATATTAAAATATAAAAATACATAAGGGTCAGAGAAGAGAAGAGAAGAAGAAAGAAGATCAAGAAAAAGAAAGTCTTAGAAAAAAGAGGATCCAGGAGCGCGAAAAGGTAGGAAAGTTACGAAACACTGTATTTTTCCAATGATTTGTGGCTCCGGAGGGTCAAAAAGTAGGCTCGCTAAAGCGGCGGGTGCAGAGCCAGCTGGCCAGATGAGAGATGAAAAGTTGCACGCCGTTATGGCGCGAAGCATATTTGCGAGTGAAAAAAATTAAAAACACGTCACGTTCGGAGCACTTTTTGAAGTTGAGATGTCGAAAAAGTGCACGCCGTTGTGGCGCGAAGCACATTTCAAAGTTAAAAATGTACAAAATACCTCAGCTTCGGAGCGCTTTTAGAAGTGGAGATGTCGAAAAGGTGGACGCCGTTGTGGCGCGAAGTAGATTTAGATGTCAAAATGTTAAAACCCTACATTATCGGGCCACATTTAGAAGTTGAGATGTCGAAAAAGCGCACGCCGTTGTGACGCGAAGCACATTTCGAAGTTAAAAAGTGTAAAGCAACACATATGTGTGCCTTTTTTAGACGTTTGGATGTCGTTTTGCGTGATAGGCGCAAGAGATTGTATACCTTGTTAAAAGTGAGCAAAACGTGAAGGTTTTATAGCATTTTTAAAAGCAATGGCAGGCGTACGACATTTGAAAAGGATTTGCAAAGAAGGCGTAATATAAGAGAAATGTTCATTAGAGCTGTTAGGAGGTCCAGGTACTGATTTCCGGAGACGGGTTGTATTTTGGAGCATTAGATCTTTAGTTTTGGAAAGATGATTTTGCGTAATATTAGGTTTGATGTTATTAATTTCGAAAAATTAAGCAATTTTCGTAAAATTAACATAGACCCGGGCAATCCGGCGGCGGAAGTTTCCCAAAAATAAATGACCTATGGTTCAAAAACAACCTGTCCCGATTGTGTCCTTCCCTCGACACTCCATACCTCATACTGCACACTGCACTCTTCGCACTCCAAATTTCACACTCCATACTTCTCACTTCTCACTGCTTCCTTCACACTCCAAACCTTACACTTCATGGTTTACACTTCACACTGCGCTCTTCGTACTCCAAACTTAAACTTCACACTCCACACTTTACACTTCACATTCCACAGTTCATACTTCTTACTTCCCACTGCTTCCTTCATACTTCATACTTCACACTGCACTCTTCACGCCCCACACTTCACACTGCTTTGAACCTACGTGCAACAAAAAAACACTAGTGAAACACTAGTGCTAAAATGGAGAAAATGCGCTAACAAATCCATTTCGCAGCCTTCATGCAGCCACTCCAATACGATTTCCGAGATCCAGCTGCAAAAAACAATAGTATTACGAATGTAGCCACAGCACGAAGTAATCTTGACGCAGCCATTACGATGCGATCTGCAGAAACTGAGTTACAAAACACAATAAAACTACGGGCAACGGCTTCGGAAATTAAAGCTCCAAAACCGGATCTCGACACCAGAGCGAAAAAAAACGATTTTGAAGCACTTTTTAAAAGCATTTTTAGAAGGAAAGTTACTGGCGCGAAAATGGAAAAAATTTGCTGACAAATCACTGTCGCAGCCTTCATGCAGCCACTCCAATACGATTTACGAGATCCAGCTGCAAAACACAATAAATAGTAAAACGTACGAATGCAGCCACAGCACGAAGCAACCTTGACGCAGCCACTACAATGCGATCTGCAAAGACTGAGTTGTCCCATTTACATTGCGGGAACGATCCTACAGTTGCCAGAGTGGAATTCCATCAGTAACTTATCCACTAGCACCACTTGTAATCTCATTTACATTGCGAGAACGATCCCACAGTTACAAATCACAATGGAATTCTATCGGCAACTCATCCACCAGCACCACTTGCAATCCCATTTACATTGCGGGAACGATCCTTTAGTTGCAAATCACAATGGAATTCCATCGGCAACTCATCCACCAGCACCACTTGCAATCCCATTCACATTACGGGAACGATCCTACAGTTACAAATCACAGTGGAATTCTGTCGGCAACTCACCAACACCACTTCCAATCCCATTTACATTGCGGGAACGATCCCACAGTTTGAATTCTGTCGACCGCAAATGTACGAAACCTAGATGAAACCCCATTCACAATGCGGAACCGATCCGACCATGATTCGCCCATGATCCGACCACACACGAGACCGTCTCGCAATCATCGCACCGCAAAGGTAGGTTCTAAGATGGACTGCGTATGGAAAAACATTGGGTTTCGTGCATTTGCTATCTCAAAAACACATTTCGTGCGAGACTCCCTTCAAAACGCCATCGGCATCTTCTCCACCAGCACCACTTGCAATCCCATGTACATTGCGGGAACGATCCTACAGTTGCAAATCACAAAGGAATTCTGTCGACCGTAAATGCACGAAACACAGGTGAAATCCCATTTACATTGTGTAACCAATCCGAACATGATCCGAGAATGATCCGATTACACACGAGACCGTCTCGCAACTGTCGCACCGCAGAAGTTGACCATCGAGGTTCGGGGACAGAATTTGTATGGAACAACATAGGTTTCGTACATCTGCTATCTCTTAAAAACGCATTTCGTGCGAGACTTCCCCCAAAACTGCATCGGCAAGATCTACCTCTGCGGTGCGACCGTTGCGAGAGGGTCTCGTGTGTGGTCGGATTATTTTCGGATTGTGTTCCGATCGGTTCCGTATTGTAAATGGGGTTTCACCTATGTTTGGTGTATTTGCGGTCGATAGAATTCCATTGTGATTTGTAACTGTAGGATCGTTCCCGCAATCTACATGGGACTGCAAGTGGTGCTGGTGGATGAGTTGCCGATGGAATTCCATTGTGATTTGTAACTCTAGAATCGATCCCTCACTGCAGGTGGTGCTGGTGGAGGAGTTGCCGATGGAGCCTTGAAGGAAGTCTCGCACGAAAAACGTTTTTGAGAGATAGCAGATGTATGAAAGAAACATTTTCTTTTCCATACACAGTCTGTCCCCGAAACCTCGATGATCTATCTCTGCTGTGCGACAGTTGCGACACGGTCTCGTGTGTGGTCGGAATTCCATTGTGGTTTGTAACTGTGGGATCGCGTTCCGGTAATGTAAACGGGATTACAAGTGGTGCTGGTGGGTGAGTTGCCGGTAGAATTCCATTGTGATTTATAACAGAAGAATCGTTCCCTCACTGTATATGGAAAAACCAATGTTTCTTTCGTACATCTGCTATCTCTCAAAACGCATTTCGTGCGAGACCTCCTTCAACACTCCATCGGCAACTCCTCCACCAGCACCACTTGCAATCCCATTCACAGTGAAGGGAACGATCCTACAGTTGCAAATCACAATGGAATTCCATCGGCAACTTATCAACCAGCACCACTTTATCAACCAGCACCACTTGCAGTCCCATGTAGATTGCGGGAACGATCCTACAATTGCAAATCACAATAGAATTCTGTCGACGGTAAATACACTAAACATACTTGAAACCCCATTTACAATGCCCTCTCGCAACGGTCGCACCGCAGAGGTAAATTATCGAGGTTTAGGGACGGACTGTGTATGGAAAAACCAAGGTGTTTTTCGTTTATCTGCTATCTCTCAAAACACATTTCGTGCGAGACTTCCACTTACAATCCCATTTACATTGCGAAAACGATTCTACAATTATAAATCACAATGGAATCCTGTCGACCGCAATACACGAAACACAGGTAAAACTCCATTTATAATTCGGAACGGATCGGGCGTGACCCGAGAATGATCGATCCGACCACAGACGAAACCGTTTCGCTTTTTATAGACAAAAGAAAGATTTTTTTTCGTACATCTGCTATCTTTTAAAAACGTTTTTCGTACGAGATTGCCTTCAAAACTCCATCGGTAATTCCTCCTTAGAATGAGGAAACGATCCCAGAGTTGCAAATTACAATGGATTCCATTCGAGACTTCCTCCAAAACCCCATCGGCAATTCCTCCACCACCACCACTTGGAAACAAACAAGTGGGAGACAAATTCATGCGGCCCAAGGCACTCAGAGTGGGAGATAAGTGTGGGAAACAAGTGTAAACTTATGCGGCCCAAGGCACCCAGATTGGGAGACAAGTGTCGGAAACAAGGAGTTAGTCAAAGAAAGAGTTAGTGAGGGATACTTGTTTCCTATGCTTGTTTCCCATACATGTCTCCCATTCTGGGTTCTTTGGTTCGCATGTACAATATAACTGAAAATTTCTTTATTTGTTTGGGGTCATCACTGGTATAATTTAAAATTATTAAAAAAATAGGAAAAAAATAATAATAATAATTTAGTTATATAATATTTATTATATTATATTATTATTAATATTATTATTACTACTATAATTATAATTATAATTATTATAATTATAGCTATAATTATAGCAATATTATTTTATAATATTATTAAATATATTTTTATTCTAAATATAATTATATTTTATTTTATTTATTACTAATTATATATAATAAAACTATTATTATAATATATATTATACGATATTATAGTAATAAATATATTTTAATATACTAAATTAAACTACACTATATTACATTACTATAACAAATTACACTAATTATAACTCCACTATACTATAACCATTTTTACAAATATAATTATAATATATTAGATATTATATTGAAATAACTACCGAAATTATAAAAAAACTATTTTAATAAAAATATAATAATTATATTTTCCTATAAATTTTTTATTTATAAAATCTTTATTATTATTTTATACGATATTGTCAATATAATTTACCAAAATAAAATCTAATTTATTTTCATGATTTTTGTGGAATATAGGTGGATAAATTTTGATTTGAAATACCTCCTGAATAATATAACGTACAAGGAAAAGGCAACGTATAATATATACCAATATATTATGACGTCATAACCGGAAATAAACGT